TTGGGCCATTGCCTCTTATCCTGTCACCATGCAGCCTAATGAAGAAAGTATCTTCAACTTCTCTCTAACCTTCTCTTTAGGTAATGGAATAATGTGACTAGATTCTGTGTAAGCCTTCCATTCTCTAGGTTGAACAACTCCATTTCTATCAATCTGTCTTTGTAAGCTAAGATCTCCAACCTCTGATCACCTTGGTGGACACTCTCCAGTTTTAACATCTCTCTTGAACTTGGAGGACCAAAACTGGACACAGCATTCCTGGTGTGGCTTAACAAGTGCCGAGTATTATGGATTAATCCCATCCCTTGTTCTGTTTGCTATAGTCTTGCTGATACAGCCTGCAGTTTGCTTTCCTGCTGCAATGATGGGCTGCTTACTTATGTTCAGCTTGCTGTCCTCTTGGATCCATAAGTCCTTTTCAGCCAAGATACACTCTTGCCAGCCAGTTCCCAGCCAATAGATGCTTGGGATTACTTTCTCCCAGGACAGACTTTGCATTTATCTTTGTTAAACCTCATGCAATTCCTGTTAAACTAATTTTCCAGCCTCTTGAGGTATCTTTGCATGGTAGCTCTTTCTTCCAGTGTATCTACCTCTCCTCCCTGTTTGGTGTCATCCACAAACTTGGTGAGGGTGCTTTCAATACCATTTTCCAAACTGTTTATAAAGATATTAAATAGTATCAGGTCCAGGACTGACCCGTGAGGCACTCCACTCATGACAAGATGCCAATCTGGCCTTGAGCTGTTAACTACCACCTTTCAAGATCAACATCTCAGCCAGTTCTCCACCTGTAGGTGCTCCATCTGCCCAGTCCATATCCTACCAGCTTGTCATCAAGGATCTTGTAAGAGACCTTGTTGGGCACCTTGCTAAGGCTCATGTAGATGGGTCTTTATGAATGTACTTTTCATATGTCATTCTTTTTGTCAGTGCAAACACATAAGTGATGAGCTTGGTGAAGTAATTCAGAAGTGACATTTCATAGTCTGTGTATTACAGAAGGTCAGAATAAATGTGCATAATTGTTCCTTTGGCCTTAAAAAAAATCATGAACCAAGCAACTTTAAGAAAAGTGACCTGTGTCCACTAAGAATGCAGTGCTCAGGAAAACAAAAGTCACATAGCTGTTATAGTCAGTGTCATAAATGGAAAATAGTGTAGTAGGATTGGGAGTCTGTGGGGCTTTTTTTGACATGAAGATTGTCCTGGTTTAATTCTTATCTGGTGGAGAGTGCTTTTATAGAATATATAAGAACTGGGCTTCTGACTTTTTTTAACTTTTTTTTTTTTATATTTAATTACCTTTAATCTTTCCTTTGTTACTACAGCCTCTTTTGAGTTTAAATATTGCATGGGTGAAAGCAAAGCTGAAGCATTGTCTGTGACACCCAAATGCTTTTAGAAGCCAGGAAAGAATTTGGATGCTATCATTAAAATAAAAACCTCCATTAATGGATCTGTAATTTTTCCTTTGTAGAAAAATGTCAGAATTTGCCTGGCACATTTTTGTTATGCATTTATCCAATCTTGTCCTGTATCATGAGGTCAGCTTCCCTGTCCTTTGATCCTTGTTTATTCTGGCATTCATTCAACATCCTGATATTTTTCTAACCCTGTGGTGGTCCAGAGTCTCAGTGCTCAGATATTTGTCTTTTATAGCCAGTGCTTCAGGATAGAGCAGTAAACAACACATTACTAATGATGATTCCTTCTGTTTGCAGCCTCACATTTGTACATAGCATTAGACTAACTTAAAGCCTTTGCCATGCTTCCTTTTGTCATCCCTGACATGCACAGTTATCTTCCAATGATCTTTAATTTATGAACGCTGAGTATGTCACTGATTATCCTCTGAATGTCATTGTGAGAGCTACCATTTTATGGACCAGGTAGATGAGTTTCTTGATTTGCTTAACCTTTTCATTTCCATCTTTCCTGTTAGTTAGTTCTCTTTTTTTATACCAGTGAAATTCAAATGTTGCAAAGCATAGGGAGCTTTCTTACTACTCTGCATTGTCTTCAGCATTACTGAGGTAACACAAGCATGATAAATCATGTCACCACAAGTTATCTTATACTGACACCATTTCCGGTTGATTTCAAGTTAGGTTAGATTTAGACAGTGATTTCCAGTTAGATGAAACAATATGGTGAACTAACCCAGATGAAATAACACACTTCACTGATGGACTATATAAGTTGATTAACCAGATTGATTTGCACACAGTGCAAGAAGATGGAAACATAATGTAAATTGCAGCATCTGCTTCTATAAGTGTGAATAACACGGTCATAACCACAAGAAGTGATATGTACATATTGGAGTGTCATTCTCTTTAGTTCAATGTCAAATGGGCTCCTGATGCTTTTGATTGTTCTGGCTTCTTGTTTTTAGTCAGGTGAGTCTGCTGAGTAGTTTGCCAAACACAGAGGAAAACCATTTGTGGTTGTATTTTCCTGAATCAAATGTTGGGTTTTTTTCTATTTTCAGATAAAACATTCTCTGTTGTGCATAAACAAATCCCATAACCTGTACTATACACTTTTTTTGGTAAGAATTTCTAAACGCTAGGTAGAATTTAGGGGTCAAAGAAGATGGGCTGTTTTCCTTGGCATCATTTCAGTTATGACTTTTAGCTTTTAGGGGTGGAAAAAAGCAGTGCAAAAACATTATAGTGTTCTGCCTATATGAGAAAACTGAGAGATCACTGTGCACTTTCTATCACCCTTGTTAGCTTCACAGTGGTGAGTCATGTGCACTGACGTTCTAGGTTTTGTGTTATCTTCTACAATCTCAATACTCATATGTAGACTTTTTTACCTTTTTTTTGTTTTATTTGTTCCAGTAAGTGAGCTATCCTATGCAGGAGCTTTCTCTGATTTTGTTTGTGACCTTTGTTCCTTCCTTTTCAATAGTAGCTATTGCCTCATTCTAGCTAATTAAATCAGTCATCATAATATGAGCACTTTGTCCTTTAGAGGGTATTGTATTTTCTCACATGCTCTAATGCTTCAGTAGAGAGCAACCATTCCCCTTGCTAGCATGTTTTCATCCTGGATTTTTTTTTTCCCCCAACAGAAATATAGAAATGCACATATATTACAGTTCATTCTTGCTTTATTTTCTATTATAGCTCATACGGCTTTTTCTTTTTCTTTTTTTTTCCCCCCTCAGCATACATCAGCAATGTGTATCTAACAGTTTACTAAAATTGTTCTCTCTGCCAATTTTTTATATTGCTCAGGCTATTTATAGCGGCTAAAATGTTGTTTGTGTACTGGGGTAAAGATTGTATGTCAAAAGAATCAAATACAGATTTTCGGTAAAATTTTACAAATATTGAAAAACATTCATTTTCCATCCTTTCTGTATTACATAGTAATTCAGATTCCTACAGAGCTGATGTGCATTGCTTAAAATATGTTATGCTACAGTGCGGTATTAAATGCTTGCAAGAATTATTTGATTTTCAAAACAAACCCTATGAGGAGAGACCGTATCGGTTTGTCTTCTCTGTTCTATGCATTCACAGTATATTCTGAAGAAAAATTATTTCCCCTTTCATTGTTACTAAAATCTTTTGCAATCAGCCACAGACTATGTTCAGTACAGCAACAATGCGTTCATGCAGAGTCCTAAAAGTCTTCAGTTTTATTAGCATTGACACTAGAGTTAGTTCAAATGCTCGATTTGCTAAGTCCCCAGGCAGAGTGAAATAACTCTTGGATTGTATCTCAGCAGGGGGACAAAGTCATATTTTTTCTAAATAAATGTTCTTTTTATTCCAAGTACACTGCTAATTCTCCTCTGGGGCAGAATTTATGGCTGCCAATCAGCTGAACTTCAGAAAGGTTTGTAGTGTCAATCTTTGTTTAGTATCTCCACCAGAGCTGACAGCAGAGTTATGTTTAAGGCCGACATTAGAAGATGAAAGACTCCTCAAAAAGTCTGATTATACTAGTTCTCATGTTATATTTCTACATTTTATTTACTAGGCAAGATTTAACATTACTGAACATTTTCTGATACATCTTGAGTTTGAAACATTATTAAACAGATGGGGCAAATGTGATATAAAATGTTCAGTACTTCTAATACCTTCAATTTATCCAGTGGTTATGATCTCTTAAGCACTGTGTTTTACAAAGATGAGGGAAGGTAATAACTTTATATCTTTTTTTAAAGAAGCTGAGGTGAAAGAAAGGAAGTGATTCCTCTATAGTTGCGCAGCATCACTTTGTGCCAAACTGCTGTCTCCTTTGTCCCAAACTACTGTCTCTCTCTTCCCATCACAACAGTTCTTTGCATTCTGGGAATATTAAAGCAGAAAACACATATTCATTTTTAGGACTTTTAGTGGTCAATTTCTGAATGGCAAGCTAGTATTAGTGTGACCAGAGTGTGATACTATATCTCACCTAAAATCTTTCTCAAGTATTTTTGCAGTGTACCATGGATAAAATGTTTGCTGCCCTCTCCCTCACAACTGTTTTCTCCATATACTGCCATCTGTAAGTGCTTAGATTAATTCAGGTTGCCACACTGTACATTAGGTTTTCAGAATTGCTCAGGAGTAGCTGAGTGATTGAAATAAGAACGAACATTTAAAATGTGCCAGAATCCACAGATTCTCCTATAACACTCACCAACATTGTTGATGAACTTGGCTACAGTAAAATACTTAATAGTTTTCCACTGACTTCAAATACTTGCAGGCCTCATCCTACATAAAGTCTATATGATTTTAACAATAAAAAACAGATAAACAACATATATTGTGCATTTTCTTGAGAATCTGTCCAGCTGTTTTGTTTTTCATAGACAAGATGAGAGGTACAGATGAGATGAAAGGTACAGGCACCCTTAGAAGTATGCCTTGGTAAAACCTGACACGTAGTAAAATACGATAAGAGAGCAATGTGCAAACTGAGAATTTGCTTTCACTCTTATAAACATATTATTCTTATTCATGTTACATCTAATATTTGTCTTTCAGAAATCCAAAATCTCCACTTATGACAAGATGTGGGCCTTCATGAGTAGCAGGAGGCAGTCAGTACTTGTCAAAAGTAATGAAGAAGGTATCCAGCGTGTGCTTACCTCTGATTATGCATTTTTAATGGAGTCGACAACCATTGAGTTTGTCACACAGCGGAACTGTAACCTAACACAGATTGGAGGCTTGATAGACTCAAAAGGTTACGGCGTTGGAACTCCCATGGGTAGGTGATATGTCAGCCATTTGTTCTCTGTTCATTCATCTTAGTTGCTGCAGTAGCATGGAAAAGCTCCAATACACTGTTGCTTTATCTACATTGCTAACATTTTTTCTCGTTCTCTTTTTCCCACCTGGGGAAAATATTACATATTTTGTCAACATTTATAGACTTTATTGAATTTTCTAAACAGAAAAAAATAGTTACTTTATAAAAAATTGGACATTTTCATATGATATATTTCTCTTACATGGTGCCTTCCATATGTTCAAAAACAACAGCAAAAAGTACTTCTCACAGCACTTTGTTTTATTAAAAAAGTGTTTTAAAATGTTGATCTCTCTCTTTAGACAATGAGGTGCTAGTAGTACAAGGCTTACATTAGCAAATGGGGGTAATGCTTCTATACTGCGAGGGCTAATCACTGGGATTCTTAAAACAGGAGGAAAGATTCCATAACATGCCATGTATAATCCACAGACAAAAGAAATACTGAATTAACCTTGTGGAATATGGTTTTGCAGAGCAATTCCAATCCTGTAAAAATTTTCCAGGTCAGGTGTTCTTGACTAGGTATAAAACTTGGTTGCAAGATTAGAAGCCAACTACAGACACTAGTTTGGCTGCTAGAATCCACAGGATGGGATTCAGCAAGCACTGAGGTGAGTTCCGATTGACTTCAGTGATTTTTGAAGGACATGAGCTGAGGATCTGGTTTTAGATTTGGGAATAGATGGGAGTAGAAAATGGTGTGACACAAAGGGTCTGTGCACCATGATCCCACTTAACATTGTAAGATCGTTCTGCTGACTTCTTTGCAAGGCCAATATTTATTTTAACTTTATTTTTAAGAAGAATTTGTTATTTTGTGATTGATGTGAATATGTTTTATGTTTTTCTCAAATAGGTCTTTCATTTGGTATTGATTTTATCTGTGTTAATGGTATACACTAAATCATTGTATGGGGAAAGTTGCGTCTAGTACTTTAAATCAAGGAAGGTTAAGAAATAGACTCTACTGGAGTATCTTGCATAAAGAGGTATCTAGTATTACCAAATATAGTTTTCCCTATATATTATAGATAATTACTGCAACTTTAATAACATCTTTATAATTTTCATGATTTCAGTAATTGACTATGAAATGGACATCTCCTGCAGAAATTATTTTTCTGTTGATTCTGTCTTTGAACAGTTAGTTGTCAGGAGTCTAGTTTTAATCCATATATCATTTTTTCCACCCTGTTCTATTGTGGCTTCTTATATTGCTGAATATGTTCTGTAGACATATAAGTGTCAGAAGGGACCAGACTTCAGGCCTGCTGATCTTTTTGGCATCTCCTATTTTCTGATATATAAACTTTTTGTTATTTTGAGGGTGAAAACCACCTTCCATTTAGGTTTAGTATGGGGAAAATTAAATCTTAGTGATCATTTAAAATCCTTGAATAAGCTGCATGTAAACTTGTGCAGCATCTGAAGCATGCCCCAGAAATCTTAGTGCCCACGGAAGTGCCAAAGTGATAGGAATCAGAGACACCAGGATATTTTACAAATTGTTTTGGTTATGTGTAAATCAGAGAAGCAGCATAAACACCAGAGAAAACAGATGAAAAGCAATGATAAAGCCAGAAACAACTTCTAGAGTTAAAGTTTAAAGGAAGAAGTATTGGATGTAAAGAGACAAGGAAGCAAGTAAGTAAACTGTCTTTTGGTCTTTGTTCCCTACCTTATTTGGGGAGAACAGGCACTGTGCATGCACTATTTCTTCATTAACTTCAAATCATACCAGACATTATTCAGCTCTTATTCATCTGCAAGGTTGCAAGTAATAACAATTTATCTGTGTCAAGAAAATAATAGTGTTGTACAAGGGGATCTGTGAGCTGACAATTGTCTTGAATCAAGATGAAACAAATAGAAGACATACCTTACAAAGAAGGTAAAACAAGAGTTGTAACAGTGTTAAACTTAGTAAAAGAAGTAGAAGTAAGATCCAAAAAACAGACGAGGCCTTCATAAAAGGAAATATAACAGCATCTAAAATAAGAGGTAAAGTAAGGTTTTCACACACACAAAAAAAAAAAAAAAAAAAAAAAAAAAACAACAAGGTACAATAAAACAGCATCTGGAGCTTTCCCAGAGGAGCTTTCCCAGAACAGCTAAGAATAAGAGATTAATCCTGTGTTTGGGCAGTATCTGTAAAATGCTATCCACAGTACTAACATTTATAAAAGTTTTGTGTCCTGTGTATTAACCACACAGTCTCAGAGGAAAGAGATTTGGTAGCCTCTGCTAAAATAATGCATAGTTCACACATACATTTGAAAGGAAACCTTATGAAGAAGCATGTCCATTGTGCCTGTCAGAATATTTTTGTTAAATATATTGCTTTATTGAAGCTAAAAAATCTTACAAAGCAGTGGGTAATACAAAACAGACTGTTGCCTTATAGCTAATCTAATTTCTACAGGAAAAATAATTCTGGAGTCTTTAAAAGAACTTATGACATAGTTAAATCTACAGAAGTAGATTTCATCATTATTTAATGATCATGGAAGAAGTTTATAGACTTGCAATTGAGTAATATCTTTTTAGAGTCAATAATCCTAAGAGTAACTTGTCAAGCGCTTGGAAAACTACAGTGTAACGGTTTCACAAACATAGCACAAGTTACTGCTTGTGCCTGTTTGGAAAGCAACGCATCTCTGAGCAGAACAATACAGAACTATTTGTATTAGAGGCACGGTATCTGAAAGATATAGATGTCATCTCCCCAGATTTACAAAAGTATCCAGTTTATCTCCTGGAATAGTGGCTTGAAGTTGCAGAAATATTTGCACATAAGATTAAATTTGTAGAATACTGTTGTCACAGGCCTTATGTTGAATACATATCCACAGAATAGATATGGTTACTTTTGGAGAACAGCATCAAAGGCAGTGGGTGCAACTCATCTTGTTCCTTTTGAAGGCTAATAAAATAATAGTGAGAACATAATTTGCTTGAGTCTACGTAGCTACAAGCAGAAGAGCCCAAAGCTTTCCTAACAGAAAAATATGCTATCAGAGTAGTTTGTGATAGGATAATCACTTGGAAAATGCAACCACCCAAATATAGCACTGGCTTAGAGGACTACAGTAAAAGCTCTCTTCTCACATTGTGAAAGTTTTAAGTTCAGAGAAAGGAAGTTGCACAAGATGAGGAGAAAAAACCAGCAGATCAGGCAGTCTATAGGCATCATCTCCTTCCAAACACACTGAAGAAGCAAAATCTGAGTTTACGTGATTATTTTAATCCTTCTAAAAGCACTAGTGAAGGAAATAAAGTTTAGATTGCTAAAATATAGCTTTGATGAAGGAAATTGGAAATTCTGTACTTTTGGCACAAAGTAGGATCAGTGTATACACTGATGTTTGGAATATCAAACATCAAACAGCATTCTGTATGATATCTTTGCTGTTAGCTTTATTTAATATGTCACGTGACACCTGCAGCACTGAAAAAGAAACTAGAGCTAGTGAATTTCATGTTATACATACAATGAATGATTCTCATGATACATGTTTATAAATTAAGGTAACAGTCCTGTACATATTTGAATTCATTTTCAGTCAGCCACCTCTGGTGCTAGACTACAAAAACTTCATTTATAATTAAAAAAGGAGAACAGACCTGGGATGAAATGTTTGACAGCAACTGCTACTTTGGAGCAGATAAGGAAGAACCTATTTGTAACTGGGGTTGTGTTTGTTTTGTCTTATTTTCCATCTTTGCAACTTTGTTTACAGTTTTGTTATTAAGAGTGTAACACTTGCTTTGCTAGAGCACATTTGGGTTTTTTTTCTTCCAGTTTGAAGCCCCATATGCCAGGGTTTTGTATTGGCTTTTTTCTGGCATGTCCTATTAGGAGGCACTACTTTGCCAGTCCTGTGTTCTTTGTCAAGGAATCTAGTAGATAGGAAAACTTTTGTTAACATGCATAAAGCTTGAAGTATGCTGTATAGTTTATTTCGAATAATAAATATATGAATATGTATCATGTACAGTTATCTATCAGAAATACATATCTATCTGTTTTAGTGGTTTGAATTTGGCTTTGTGTGGGCATATACCTCCATATACCTCATGATCCAAGGTTGATATTCAAGGGAGGAAGGGAGGGAGGAAGAAAGAGAAAGAGAAAGAAAGAGAAAGAGAGAAAAGACACAGAAAGCAAATGAACCAAAGGGGGGGGGGGGAGGAGAGTGAGAACAAACCCTTTGGGTATGCAGAGTAACTTGAGCTTTTAGTCATAGATCCTCTAAAGTGTTACTTATCACCTCCAGTAGTTTTAAATATCCCATTTCTTCATCATGCATGATAAAGGTGTTTAAAATTAGGTTTGTTCTTGAATAAATCCCAGTTGTGATAAATTTACCATTGCAAAGTATTCTTAAATGTGTATGATATTTCCACATGTTTATGGTCTTCTTATCAAACATGAATTGTAACTTTTTTCCAAGAAAACCTAGTCTATCCAGCAATATACATTTCATGCCCTACTGAAACACAGTTAATATGTCTTTTCTATGGTCAACATGCTGTAAAACAGTAATATTATGTGACTAATGCTATTTTCTGTAATGACTATTTATTAACATCATTGTTAATGTGAAGTGAACCACATGAAAGGTTAGAAATTTAGCTTCTATATGTACTCTATATTAAAGCATTAATGGTCTGTAAAGCTACTTTTCACTTTTTTTTTTTTTACTTTTTACTCTCCAGTTGGAAGAAACATATTTGAAATCATTGCTTGGAAAAAAGCAAATCTTCATCTCTCTGGGGTGGTTTCAGGTTCTTATTTCTTTTCCAAATTCCTGTTTCTCTTCAGCATGTTACACAGCAGGCTACTTTCCATCTCACTTGGGCAGATTTTCTATTGAATTGCCAGTTACTTCTATGTTGAACCCGGAGTACATAAATGGTGTACAAGTCTATATGTCAAACCCATTCCATACGAG